GAGAGAGCTAGAGTTGAACATAAAATGAGGTATGGTCTTCAACTATTCTGTGCTTGGAAGACTTCTTGGGATTTTGGCCAGTAATCCACACCTTTTTGTAGAAATGTTTTGAGAACGTTTTTCATGTTCATACTAGCTTCTGATGCAGTGAGAGATATCCACATGTGAGGAAAGTTGATGATATGTGTTTATTTGTGTGGTTGTGTAAGTTGTGACGATTATGGCATATATAAGTATGGTATGTAGCAGTGGAGTATGAAATTGTGACTATGGCTACGAAAAGTCAATGTATATGGTTGTGAGTATATATGTATGTCTATGAATGCAGGGATTCAGATAAATTATTTTGCAGGATTAGTTGCAAGAACTATTAGCCCATTACCTGAGAAATTCATGTCGAAATTTTAGTTGGGTCAATTTTAGGAATTAATGTAACACCTAAGTTAAATTTTGTTGCAATTGTATGAACAAAATGATTAGGCAAAACGTATAGGATGGGGTGTTACAATAACATGCAACCCAACAGCTAGGGGTGGCAATACGGTCCGGTCCAGTTAAATTGGCCCAAATTGATCCGGTCCAGTCCGGTCTTTTTGAAAATATAAGGACCGAAGATTGGATTGGATACAGTCCGGTCTTGATCCGGTCCGGTTTTGATCTGGTCCGGTCCCAATTTGGTCTTGATTTTACATTGAGATTGTGGGATTTGAGTGGCCTAAGGCCTTAAAGGGTGAGGAGTTGGTTAAGTTTTGTACCAAGTGCAAAGGTTTGTGACCGTTTATGCAAATTACCCTTAAGTTTTGGGTGTTGAGCTCTCTTATCCGGTCTTTATCCGATTTTTTACCTCAAATCTAATCCCAAAGATTGGATTGAATTGTTTACTATTCGGTCCCGGTCCGGTCTCGGTCCGGGTTATACGGTCCGGTTTCCGGTTTTTAATCCGGTCCCGGTCCAAATAGCCACCCCTACCAACAGCCAGCCAATGGTCAACAGAAGGTAAATAATCAGCAACAAAGTTCCCTTCCCGAAACACATGAGTCAGGCATACCTCCCAGTCTTGCTCCAGTAATCGGCGAGTGGCAGATCCCAACGTGTGGTGGGGGTGACAAACATTATCCTCCTGCAATAGTTGAAGAGTGATCGTGGATAGGGGTGGACAACAAGATGGGACTGTGTATTCGTCCCGTTTGAAACAGGTACCCAATCCCATTTGGAAAGGAAACTCCATCCCATGTCCAATTTCGTACGAGACGGATAACGAGTACTCAAATTACCCGTATATACCCGTCCAACGTGCGAGGAATAACAAAATTAGAAAAATTTAGATTATTATCCCCCCAAATAAGTGGCTCAGTAAAGATATCCATTCGCTTCCTAGTATCAATTCAATCGTTAATCTCTCCTCACATTCAGTCTCCAATGTGTTCGTTTTAATCTCCATTATCGTTTTGACGTGGGTTCCATAAACATTTCCCAACCATTGAGTTTAACTCTTTTCCTCATTCACAATCACAGTTTTTTATGGGAAAAATCCCCCACAACTCTGTAATAATTTTCCAGGGCGGTTGTCATTGCAACATGAACAACCGAACTCATCATACCAATGATAGCAAATTAGTAATAATTTCATGTCCTTGACTATTAGATGCATTATTGTTGTTGTTACTCACTCTCCTCTTCCTTCTACTATGAAATCATCCTAAACACAGGCTGGGAGTAACAGTATCAGCCCCAAAAAAAAAGAGTCATTGTGATAGTCTGTGAGGAAGCTCCAATTGTAGGGGGAATAGAGGCTCTATAATTTTGAGTATACATGCAAGGGCAAAAAGAAAATGAATAATAATCAGAGATATGCATTATACACCAACAACATCAACTGGATGATCAAATAATTGATCGTGAGCTATGTATTGACTATTATAGTATTGTCGTATTTGTATAGGGAATAACTAGTAATGGGCATTACTGTTACCCATACTACCCAAACGGGTATTAGCGAGTAACTCACAGGTACCCAATGTAAAAATTCTTAATCCCAAGTCTCATCCTGTGATAAATATTATGGGTATTTGGGTATCCGTAACCCTAAAAAAATTGGACAGGTAAGGGTAAACTCAAATACCTGTTTCTCGTTGCCTACCCCTAGTCAAGGAGTCCGTCTTCAAGATGAGCCTTTTGATGCCCATATCCCAAGCAATCTGTAACCCATGCGCTATACCTGCTTGTTCTACATGTGTAATTTAGCCACCTCCAAGGTTCATCGAGAAGGCTTTCATGAAACGACCATCACTTCCTCGTAAGACACCACCTGCCGCTGAACTCCCTTGGGCTAACATCACTGATCCATCTGTATTCAAAGCTACCCAATCTCCAAGAGGTCCCTGTCAGCTTACCCAACTAGTGACTTTTTCCATTAATATTAATTTTGTTAATTTTTTTTTCATTTTTTCCATTAATGAAAACGGTTATTATGGTGACAACATAAAAAGTGTTAGAACCTTATCCGATGTTTTTCACAACTGACAATGATAAACTGGAAACTACAGTATGGTAATTCATATTATAAGTAGATTAAATATTGTTTACCACTAAAAAATCACTCAATACCACATGATTATTTTCAAGGAGTGGTAGTGATTTATAAGGCCAAATTAAGCACATTAATTAAATTGGCTTAAGTTGGGCTTGAATTATGGAATTTTTGGGCTTCGTGCCAGGTAGCTCAACACACACCCTTTGATCCACCAAACACTCACCCCTCACGCAAGGGGGGTTAAGCGCCAAACATTAACACCCTTGAACATCAACCACCCAAATCGACATGGTGGAGGCTGAATTTGGCTAAGTATGAAAACTCAACCACAAGGGGGGTCAAACATGACATCACCCAAGGGGGGTCATGCATGATACCGTACAAGGGGGGTCAAGCACCTACCTACGTTGCGCTAGGATATCAAGCATGATGCTGTGCAAGGAGGGTCATCACAACTACTTCTACACGTGATAGGGGAAGAAGATAAGATTTGGCTAAGTGTTGAGACCCACAGCACAAGGAGGGTCAAACATGAGATCATCCCAGGGGGTCAAGCATGATGTCATACAAAGGGGTCATCGCGAGTACCGCTAGACATGATGGGAAAGAAGTCAAAAATTGGCTAAGTGTCGAGACCCATAGCACAAGGGGGGTCAAGCATGACATCATCCCAGGGGGGTCAAGCATGGTGTCATGCAAGTGGGGTCAAGCACTATGTCGTCTACCTACCTTGCGCTAGGGTGTCCAGCATGATGCCGTGCAAGTAGAAATATCACGAGTACCTGGGGGGGTCAAGCACCAAGTACAGTAGCCACCTACCTTGCATTAGGGGGTCAAGGGATGACTATAAATAGGAGAAACGAAAACGAAGCAAGGGTTCCACAACCAAACATTTGACGCACAATGTCAAAGTTTATCTTTTCTCTGCAAATCAGCTTTTAGTTTTTCGGAGCTCTCACTGAACATCCATAGTAGTAGAGTAGCGTAACTTAGATTGTTCCAAAAAAAACCATAAAAAAACATCAAACACCCTCGTCCGAACATTGTTCGGAGAGGAGTGAACCATGTTAGTTTCGTTGTTCAAGAAGTCAAAGGTGCATTTATTGAGTTCAAACACCCGTTTTTCCTTGCCAGAAAACAAATATATACTAGGATTATATTACTTATTAAATTTATTGTTAATGCATAGTAAAAATGTGTTAAAAATGTGTTCTCAACATACTAGAGTCACGCTAATAGTCAACACACATTTGCATTTGGATCATCATTACCGCATGCCAAATATCTCTCGCTCAACACACAAAATTCTACTTCGACGCATACAGAAAAGCACACTTAATACAACCTAGAACCCAATGTTATGCTTGCCAAATCACACTTGATTTGCAAATCCATAACCATAAGGCACCCGGGCGGAGCCAGGATCCAGAACTCGGGGTGGCCAGACTTTTTTATATAGTATTTGACAAAAAAATTTAGAATGATAAATAATAATAATTCATTTGTCATAGACACACAAACATTATTGAAGATAATTAAAAGATATAAACTAAAACTTTATGTAACAATGTGTTCTAAATAAATAGCCAATGACCAGTAAAAATCTAATAATTATTTTTCAATTTGTCCCATATTTTTATTATAATTGAACAATAAATGAGTATGGAAGTTAACTTATTAGGTTGAAATTTAATTAAAAATTATTAAAATGTGAGTCATTAGCTCCAAAATTTAATAATCTGATTTGAAATTAGATAATATATGAAGAAGTACAAAAGTTAAGTGATTAGTCTAAATTTTAAACAAAAATTAAACTAAAAAGAGAACATTTTGAAAAAAAAAATATTGATGCCAGGGATTGAACCAAAATGCAACAAATACACTAATAATTACATTCCGTTAGACTAGACCAAGGTAAGTTAGTCATTTTATGCTATATAGTTATTGTACAAAAAGTTAATTTCTTCAAAAATTTAAGAATTCTCGATATTTTTACAAGTGATCTTCGAAATTCTTCAGGGGTTGGGACCCCCGAGGCACAAGGTAGCTCCGCCCCTGATAAGGTTTAAACATTCATTTACAAGCCTGAACTAGATTAGATCAAGGAAAAAGGTTTTTTCAATATCCAATTAGATCCATAAGTTTGTCGAATCTTTTTTTAGTATAAATTCGTCGAATCTAAAACTAACTCGAATGATTGCATTCTAGAAAAAATTGATAAAAGATAAGTACAATGTCTCGAAATTATAGGAGGAAGCACTCAAACTTTTTTCCCCCCACTACCGTGCTTTTGTTTTTTCATAACTACCGTGCTTATTTGTAATGTTGAATAAATCACATGGTTTTATTTTGGTTAAGGTAATACCATAAACCATGGAAGGAAACCAATAATATTGGAGACGGAATCGTCCAAGATGATAGCAAACGAGTTAAGTATAAAAATAATTTGTTGCTAGGAACTTCTACTATATAAAAATATATATATATTATTGAGTTCTCATCATAAAAGCTTATGATGATTATTCCCATATTTTCGGCATTTTTAGGTAATATTAGGTTTTTTTTAGCTTTCGGCATTTCGCAATTTATAATAATATTTTTTTTATTTGGACAAAAAGTTATTAATAAGTAAAATTAACTGGAAATATCGGTGGCCATAAACAGTAGTTGAGCGGTCAGAATCAGCACCTCTTCTAGTTCCAAGGAATTGGTGGGAAGACGGTTACAGGCACAGCTCATCCGAAAACTATATTCTTCGACCTTATTGCAAAGGGAAGACTTTCTTCTCCAAACGCCAACCAGAAAAGAAGTCCCGAGTACAAGTGTACAACTACTAACTTGTAAAACCAAAAACTGCATACATGATAGGATAGGAGTAATCCGCAAACCACCACAAGGGCTTTGGGCAAAAGGTGGGAATCACCGCCGAATCAGAGTGTTCAGTTCCCCATTTACCTGACCGCCCGTGATTTGAGGCCACCGTTGCCTAGTGCCTTCCACCGTCGCAACGGCAGGGGAGATGGTGGGGACGGCGCGACCGGTGTTCGTGTTGTTTGGATCCTCCATCGTCCAGTTCAGCTATGGTGTTGGTGGGTGGGGCGCTATGCTTTCTGACTACTACTCTCGCAAGGTGGTAACCCTTAATTTTTTTTCTTCTTGTGTTTTTATTGTTGGCTGGGTATCTGTTTCTGTCGTCGTCGCATGTTTGTTGAGAGTTTGCGTTTCTCATCTAGAAATGATTTGGGGTTGAAATGGAGAAGAGGGTGAAAAATTCCTGGCTTGATCATTCTCCTTGAGTTTTGGTTCTCTAATTCATTTTCTGGGTTGGGTTTCAACTGCAAGTTGCTGTCTTCAAACCCCAATTTTCGGGAGGCAAATGCTAAATTCTTATGCTTGTTGTGATTGGCCCGAACCCCACCACCGGGATCGGCTCAGGCAGACATTTTGATAAGAGGGTATGGAGGTTGGAACTCGAGGGATGCTCTCAAGGTCCTTGAACAAGTTTTCCCGAAGGTACCTCTTTCTTTTGGCTTATGCTTTCATTTTACGACTCAAGACTGGTAATCTGGACATAAACAACAAAATGCCCTTTTTCCTTTTATGATTCTAATGGATATAGGTGATTCAATTGGTGAGGTGAACTTTCACTTCCAACATGATTTCCCTCATATGGTAAATTGGTAGATGGAGAAACTGAGAAGTTTGTTTTCGATTCAGGATGCTGCCACACATCCTGCTCTGGTTATAGTCTATTTTGGTGGGAATGATTCGTGCAGCCAAGACCGATCCATTGCTCATGTACCTCTTTCTGAGTACTACGAAAACATGAAGAAGATTGCTGCTCATCTCAAGGTAATCATGCATCCTAACTGCACACCTCTCTGCATGAATCAAACATTGAACTGTTAAATGGGTTTCTGAATCTAGTGCGGATTTCTGGTTGCCAGGGCCTTTCTGAGACGATTCGCCTCATCTTTCTTACTCCTCCCCCAGTCAATGAGAAGATGGTCACTAAATATTTTGGGTTTGGTGTTAAGACCCTCGAGTCTCTTCTTAATAATGTTGCAGGGAACAAAGAGCTCAGTTTTTTGGCATTACTTTTCTTTGTCTGGGCAGAGATTGTGGCCGCACAAATGAGAGTTGCCGGATGTACGCAGAAGCTTGTATGAAGATGTGCTCGGAAATGGGGGTGACAGGCATTGATCTATGGACTGTGTTCCAGCAACAACGGGAGGACTGGCAGACTGCCTATTTCATGTAAGTCAGGAAGCACCTAAGCTGCTGCACTGGTCAACTATTATTGTGCTTTTGTTTGGATTTTGCGGCACTGTTTGTAATTTGCAATGGCTGCTGCTGTGTGGGCAGAGATGGGATCCATCTGACATCAGAAGGGAGCAAGGTAGTGGGGAATGAGATCTTGAAGGTGATAGAAGAGTCGGAGTGGGAACCAAGCCTGCATTGGGAGTCGATGCCCTGTGAATTCTCAGGAGTCACACTCTTCGATACTCTTGGCTACAACCACTTCTTGAACTCAAGCCTGCCATGAGAAACTTGGCTTGGTAATCAAAGCTTACATGTGCGATTCTGAACCCTTTGTTTCTTTCTTTGGCTTTCTTTTGTCCGTCGTCTCTCTGCGGTAACAACAAAAGAAAAATATGAGAAAAATGAAACATTGGTGTTTGTGGTCCAAAGAGAAGCTTATCAAGGGCCAATGCGAGAGAGTCCATAAATTTTTATGATGAGGCAGGCCTGACTTAATGAATACCAATTCAGACTGCCTCCTTTCTTTTTGAAGAGTTGGAGCCGGTCTGGATTCAAGGGATCAATCTGGACCTTTTATAATGTACTTAGATTGTCAATTTCATTAATTTCTTCAAAAACAGGGATAAGTACTGAATTGATATTTGGACGGATCAAATAAACCTTTTAACTTGCTCCCCGACCCTCAAATTTTCATTATATTGAGCTAATTTATCATGATGCAACTCGGTTATGGAACAGACCAAACCATGACTGTTGCTGCCAAAACTCTTGATGCCATCTTCAACACTATCCCACCACGGACAGAACGTGTCCATCTGTCAAAGGACATGCCCTGTGGAAATACATAGCAAGTCTTTTTTGCTAAATTATCGAAAATTTAATTTCTAGCTTTCTTCAGCTTCGGAATGAACTCATACAAACGGAAATAAATTATTAGTTATTCAATTATCTTTTCCAAACAAAACAATTTTGGAATATAGAAAGATGGTTTTCCAAATTACTAGTTAATTACTAAATAACATTAACTTTAGGGGTTTTGTTGTCGGCTTTTTTTTCAAATTTCCTTTTTTTTTGTCATGGAGGACACATGTTTTTTGTCGTGGAGGACACATGACAAGAAGAAAGGGCTTTTGTTTTTTTTGTTTTTTTGCAAAATTCATCTGTGTAGTCAAAACTTTGATGTTTGTGACAATAATAGTCACTTTTGAGTAAATAACAATAATAGTCAGAATTTTGAAAGTTTGATAACATATATAGCCATTTTCGTTACATAATTTGACGACGTCATTGACACCGTTAGTCAAATTAACTGAACGCTTATGTGGCTGCCAACTCACCGGACACATCATCGACAACTCAACAACACTTGTCACATGGTGTCATGTCATATTTTAATTTAAAAAAAAAAATCAACTCAACAAAAAAAATAAAGTAAATAATAAATAAAATAAAAACTCAATAACACCGTCGCCCTTCTCTCCAACTCTTCCTCTCTCACCGATCAAATTGCCTCCTCCGCCCCCTCAGTGCTGCCGCCTCCTCCCTCTGTCGCACAATCTCCACCTCCACCGAGCCCCTCGTAATTGAGACACCCATTAGAAATAAAGAGGAGAAGATTGGGTTGTTGACGTAATCCATCAGAAACTCCACCACTAGCAGCAGAAGTCGGCCAATGCGCGAAGGTTACGGATTGAATTAGGAATGGAGGAGATTGCCGATGGAATTTGGGAATATGAGGAGATGAACTCCATGGTTTGGATGTATGATTCGGGGCTAGAGGCTCTGGGGAACTCGATTTGCCTCCTCAAGACAGAGATGCTTCGACGACGATGACAGCAGCGGTCGCGCCTCTACATCAACTCCCGCCGACGAACTCATGCTAGCTGTTTCCAGTGCTCGCAGTCGGGTACCACCGCTACCAACTCCCTCCTATTGTCGTCAACGATCAGCATCACTATCCCCCAGGCCTGCATTCAAGAATCTAGCGAATTTGGGAGGAAGAACTAGGGTTCTTGAATTTGGGGGATTTCCAAATCCGAATCTGGGGTACAGTTTCTTATGGACCAGGAGCGGTGACCATCATATTCAAAGCTTCTCCTCTATTTTGTGTGGTAAGAAAAGCAAAGTGGTTTTAGGATAAGTGATGGAGACATGGAGGTGGAGTGGGGAGGAGAAGATGAACGAGAAGTAGAGGTATGGGAAGGGACGAAGGGTGAGAGATTTTTTTTTAACTGTGGAGAGATTATTGTTTTATGTATTTCTTTTGGAAATTTTGTTTTATTTAAGTTCATTAAAATAAAAAGGTAAAATTATCATGGTTTTCACCTGGCATTGTTACTTACGAAATTTTTGCCATATCAGCCTTACTGTTAGCCTAGTCAGCACATTCACTAACACCGTCAAACAATTGAACGGAAGTGGTTATTTTTGGTATTTCGCCAAACGTGGCTATATTTGGCCAAACCATCAAAGTTTTGGCTATACAAGTGTATTTTGCCTTTTTTCAAATTTCATTTTCTTCTATATTATTTTCCGGCTCAAGGTAGGGTGTATGATTATTATTGTTTTTTGGCAAAATACAGTTCCATAGCCAAAACTTTCACGTTTGTGCCAATAATAGCCACATTTGGCGAAATACCACTTATAGCCACCTTTTGAAAATGTTGTTGGACAAATATAGCCTTTTCCGTTAGAAACATTGACGGCGTTACTAACACCGTCAAATAAGCAGACGGTTTGCTGATTAGGCGAGAAGAACTCGAACACGTCAGCGCCAACTAAGCAAGTCTTGACACGTCATCTTGACACGTCATATATTCATTTATTAAAAATAAAAAATTATATATTACATTATTAAAAAAAAAAAATTCTGACCATATATTCCATTTCCATCGAAACGAGTCCTTCAGCCCCTATTTTTGCCCGATACAAAAATTAGGGTTCCTCTCCCAAACTTCAAATTTCGACTCTTCTCCCCGAATCCTCAACTTTCCACTCTCCCCGATTCCTATACTAATCGATTCCTATTTCGGAATTAGGGTTCTTCCCCCAAATTCCACTCTCCACGAATCCTCTACTCCCCAAATTCCTCTTCCCATTCTGGCGACGGAGCAGATCCGAAAAGATCCCGCAAATCCTTACTTCCTCCTCCACCGCAAATCCCCCCTGCAACAGTTTCCCAATGAAAAGAGAGGCTTTCTCTAGTCTCTCCCTCTCCTTCAATCAGAATATGAAAGCATAGCTAATAGAAGTGACCAACCCACCCCCCTCTCCTGTCGTTTTCTTCCTTCCTTCTTCTTTGTCTTCTTCTCTGGCCAACATCACCTTTTACAATTTCAATTAGGGATTAAAGTCCTAGACAATCAGCAACGCAGCAGGTGAGGGGGGATTCTGCGGAAGGACACTCATTTGGGAAGCCTCACCGGGCGAGCAAGGTAGAGCCTTGCCATGAATCAATACAATCATAACCGGGTTGCGTGGAATTGGAGTCGGGAACGTCGGTTTCAACTGACTTCCGGGTTCTTCAAAATTCCATCATAGATCTTACCGCAAGGAGGTGGAGAAGGCGGAGGTTGATTAGAGCAGAGCAGAAGGAGACGAAGAATCGATGGAATCGAGGTAAGCTACGGCGGCGGTGGCGGTGGTGGTGACGAGCTGCGGTGGGGCGGCGAATGTAGGTTGGCCGGCGGAAGGAGTGAGCGGTTGGTGGGTTGCTTGAGGAGAAGAAGCGGAGATTAGGGATAGGGAGCGTGAGATTTTTTTGTTGGTTTATTAGTATTTTTATATTTTATTTAACATTAATTAATATTGAAGAAATTCCACATAAGTATTATTAGTTGCCACATCATCATTTCTGTTAGTTCACTCAATCTGTTAGATGACACCGTCAAAGAATTGGACGGAAGTGGCTATAAGTGGTATTTCGCCAAATGTGGCTATTATTGGCACAAACGTGAAAGTTTTGGCTATGGAACTGTATTTTGCCTTATTTTTTTTGTCAAAAGAAATCATGTATTGATCGAAAAAATAGACAGTTACACCCTGGAAACCAGCCAGGTCTGGAAATCAAAAAAGCGACTCATAGTCGGATACAAAGAGAGGGCTTTCCTAGCTACCAAATGAGATACCCTATTGTTTTCCCGACCTACAAAACGCACACTAAACCCAGGTTGAGTACGAAAATAATGAGCAATCTCTTCCAGAACAGCACCCAACCGGCTATCTCTTGTGTCGACTTGATTAATTTTGTCAATAATCACCTTCGCATCGCCCTCAAATCGGACCTCCGACAAACCTCACTCCACACACCAAATAATTGCTTCCCTAAGCACCAGCAATTCCACCACTACAGGATCATCCATTTGAGGAAACTGGACCCCTCTACCCAGTAGGAGTGCCCATGCTGGGTCAAAAAGAACCATCCCACCAGCCGAATGAGACCCACCCTTAGTAGCCCCGTCCCACATGCAAACCAAATGGGAACCACCCACTTGAGCGGAAGATTGCATTATCGGAACTTGAACTCTCGGCACCTGGTCCGCTGGTAAACCTACCCATTCCTCATACTGTTGGTGGAACTATCGCATGAGCGCATGGATCCCAAATTGTTTGCCTTCAAAGACTACCCAATTCCGAGATCGCCAGATCCTCCAAAGGATGGCAACAACAGCCATAACCACTGACGGTTGATGGACCAACCCCAACAGACGCTTGAGAAACAAAGGAAAAGTATGTCGAGGCAAACCCTCCCCCAAGTAATCCAGCCCAGAATAGTCCCAGAGAGCTCGCGCCACCGGACAATAAAGGAACAAATGTTCCATTGTCTCTGGGCCATCCCAACAAACTGGACACCGAGGCAGCACCAGGACCTTTTTTTCAATAAGTGCCTCCATAGTCCGCAGACCCCGATTTAGAATTTGCCACACAAAAACCTTCAACTTCGGAGGGATCTTTGCCTCCCAAACTTTAATCCAACTCGCCCTATCCATCCAGCTCACCGAGGATCAACACCCACCCCTCCTCCTGTCCAACTCGACAGCCAAATGATAAGCTGACTTAACCGAGAAGCCCCCGTCGGCCGTAAAATGCCAGTAAGCTTATCAGGCACATCCCAACGCGGAAGAGGAATCTCTTTAATAGCCTTACAAGTGGGCGGGTCAAACCATTGACTGAGCTTCTCATCAGACCATCTCCCTCCCCCCTCAGTAATAACCTCCGCCACCAAAGGATCACCCCCCTCAGGCAAGATCTGCGGATTATAGCATGGGGGATCTAGTTGGTTCCTAGGTATCCAATTAGAATGAAGGAGGGAGACCGATTGGCCATTACCAACCTGCCATCTCAACCCCCTCTCCAATAATTGACGCCCATGAAGGATACCTTGCCACCCCCAAGAGGGACGTGACCTAGCAGTCGCTGACAAGAAAGACCCTTGCGGGAAGTACTTGCCTTTATAGACTTGGGCAATAAGTGAATGAGGTTCATTGAGAATACGCCAGCCAATCTTAGCCAAAAGAGCTTGGTTGAAATGCTCGAACTGGCGAAATCCCATCCCCCCATCATGCTTACTCCTGCACATGTTACGCCAGGACACCCATCTGATCTTGGGACTACCATCCTCCGCACCCCACCAAAAACGGCCCACATGCTTGTCTAAAAGCCGACAAAGAGCCAGGGGGAGACGGAAACAAGACATCACATGAAGGGGCAGAGCTAACGCTATGGATTTAATCAAAGTTTCCTTAGCAACCCACGACAAAGTCCTTTGTTTCCACCCCTGAAGCCGTTCTAGGAGTTTGGCCTCCAAATATCTAAATGTATCCATTTTGGATCGTGCAACCAGCGTTGGAAGCCCCAAATAATTATCATGGAACCCCACCGCACCAACCCCTAGAATCGTGGCCAAGAACTCCTGATCTAGCGTGGAAATATTCTTACTAAAGCACACCGCCGACTTCTCCAGATTAACGCGTTGACCACTCAGTTCCTCATATTCATTCAGTACCTCAATTAAATTTTTTCACTCCTGCAAAGAACCTCGCAAAAATAAATAAGAATCATCTACAAAGAACAGATGCGAGATTCTTGGAGCACGAGGAGCTACTTTCACCCCCTCCAATTTTTTCTCCGTGATCGCCTTTCGGAGGAGGACTGCAAACCCCTCCGTGCAAAGTACAAACAAGAGAGGAGAGAGCGGATCCCCCTGACGAAGGCCCCTAGAGGCCGTGAAATATCCCGAGGGCGTTCCATTCATTAGAACCGAGAAGGAGGAGGATCGAAGACATTCATGTATCCATCCTTGCCAGACTGAATTAAAACCCATCTTATCCAAAACTGCAAGCAGGAAGGGCCATTCGACTCTATCATAGGCCTTTTCCATGTCAACCTTCAGAGCCATGTACCCCTTCTTCCCTTGCTTTTTTATTTTCAGATAATGCATTATTTCATGTCCAATAAGGATGTTATCAATAATCTGCCGGTCATTGATAAACCCGTTTTGGTCCTCCGACACGAGGAGCAAACTAGCCAGCCTTGCAGCCATGATTTTGGTAATCACCTTGTAAACAAACTGACAAAGGCTAATCGGACGCAGTTGTCTAATTGTTTCCACCGATTTCACTTTAGGGATCAAAGTGAGCCAGGTATGGTTAAAGCTCCGCAGCATCCGGCTCGAGGTAAAGAAGGAAACTACTGCTTCTACCACCGAAGTACCCAAAATATCCCAGAAAGCTTTAAAAAAATTTCCCGTGAAGCCATCCGGTCCCGGGGCCTGCTTCGATCCCATGGAGAAGACCGTACTCCGAACCTCATTAGGCAAAACCTCCGCCGTCAATTGCGCATTCATTTGCGGAGTAACACTATGGGCAATCTGCAGACTCGCCACCCTCTCAACCATATTAGGAACCTGAGTTTCCGAAGTAAACAGGGTCTGGTAAAAATTGGTGTCAATAGACGCCTTCCCAGATTCCTCAGTGACCCATTCCCCCTCCGCATTTCGAAGCCCGGAAACATAGTTCCTTTTCCGCCTCGCCCTTGTGACCGTATGGAAGTAGGCAGAATTCTGATCTCCTTTTTTTAGCCATTTTACTCTAGATTTATGTTGCCAGAAAACCTCCTTCGCTTCCCATTGGCAG